GCAAAAGCGAATTTCACCCTCATGTGATATACGTAGCGGATTTTACTAATTCACAGCGCGGGTTTCACCCTGTCGTAAAATATCTTAAGACCAAGTAATTGAACACCTAAGATTTTAATATCATTTTAATTATCTCATTGAGGCAATTCGAATATTAAAATTTTAGGTGTTCAATTGCTTGGTTTTAAGGTATTTTTATTAAAAGTAAATATTCAAAAAACATAATTTACAGGTTTTCTCTTGCTGCCACTCATATAACAAACAAAATCTCCAGACAGTTAGAGGCGCCTGCAGTTTATTATGAAATTATCAACATTTAATATACATATAGATATATGATGCATAAATTCAAATACCATATCAATTATTTTGAAAATTTATAAATACCCATCAAGATCATGGGGTATTTTTATTGTGAATCTCTGATTCTAAAGCATAAAAATACTATCAAAATCTCCTGTCATGATAATCAGCGTGGAAATAATCGTTCAAAAAGTCTGGATTGGGCAAAAAAGGGTAGACTTATAAAAGTAGTATTTGAAAATTGCACACCGTTTGATGAGTTGGCAAGGCTACAAGTACGTATCAAGAAGAATTATCAAATTCTGAAATTTTAATCACGACTTAAATTAACGCACGCGCATTATACTTACGTACTGAACCCCTCTTTTTTTATCCATCTTCCATTTAATCTTCTAGCAGTTCTAGCATTTGTTTTTGTACGTTGGCCTCTAACAGGATAACCCATTACGTGTCTTTTCCCTTTGTAAGTACCGATCGATCTATGATGCATAATATTATTTATTACTTCTCTCTTTAAATCGGTTTCTATTTTCATATTGGATAATTCCAAAGAAATTTGTTGAATTTGCGATTCTGATAATTCATGAAGTTTGCATGTTTTATGAATTGAAAGTTTACTACAAATTCGTTGAGCTGTTTTATGACCTATGCCGTAAAAGTATGTTAATGCTACCTGTTTGTAACATAAAGGAGGATTAGGATCATTGTTTGCAAATGTTAACAAATAAATCGATTATTACTACAAGTACCCTAACAATTTTATTTTCGGGCAAATTGACGCCAAGGAGATGAAGCACCATCGCTTACATATAGATACAAATGTAAGTACGTACGTACGTTTATAGGATGAATTTCTATAAATTAATAGATTCTTGAATACTACTGGCTGCCATCTGTGTTACATCTACTGAATATAAATAAGCCATTATTTTTCCGAAGCATACCAAAAGTTCATTTTGATTGGTTAATTGATAGACCTCGGATCATACCTAAGTTGGTAAATTTAATGACACTGAAAATGAATTTAGATTGGATTTAACGTTAACACTAATCTTTAATGTAGGGCCCCACAGCAAAAGGTGATGGGCCAAAAAATTTTTTTCTGTAGTTTTTTGATACTGTGTTCTAAATAATCTAATTTTTGCATAAAGTTTTTACAAAAAATTTTTTTTTGGCCCATCACCTTTTGCTGTGGGTAGGGATGTTAAATTGCGAATCCGGTCCGGTCCGGTCCTAGGACCTGAAACAACGGTCCCAGACCTGATACAAAAAACCGTTAGTTGATCGATCCCAGGACCGGGTCCTAAGCTGAATCCTCCAAACAAGTCCATCCAATCAGATT